AGGAGCTAAAAAAAAAACCAAACCCGTTGCCATCTGTAGGAGCTGGCAAGTCCAAAATCTGTAGGTCAAGAGGCAGGCTGGAAGTTCTGGCAGCCTTGTGTACCAAAACCAGTTGGTTAGGTAGTAGGAGAAAGATGGCATTCTGGCAAGATGTCTGTTTATATCTGGAGGCACAATACTCCCCCCAGAAACCTCTATTTTTGTTCTTAAGGCCTTCAACTGATTGGATGAGGCCCACCCACATTATGGAGAATAATCTGCTTTATGTAAGGCTAACTGATTTAATCGTTTACAAATACTTTATAACAACATCTAGACTAGTGTTTGACCAAACAACTGGGCAACATAGCATAGTCAAGCTGACATATAAAACTAACCATCACAGCAGGATAAATGGAACAGACTACATACCTGTTTGTCTTTCTTCTCTTAGCTTCTTTAAAAAACATAAAATTATATAAAGTAATAATTATAACAATGTATTGTTGGGATTCTAACATTTATTGATGCGGTATGTATACAAATAATACCACAAAAAGGAGAGGAAGGGAGTAGAGGTATATGGAAGTAATGTTTCTATATCTCATTAAGTTGATACAAATCTGAAGTTGTTTTCAATAAGTGAAATGTATATTGTAAGCTCCAGAGCAACCATAAAGAAATAGAAATAAATGAACAGTCAAAAAAATCATTAAAGGCATCCATTAATGCAAAAAAAAGTGCTAAAGAAGATACAGAGGAACAAAAAGACATGAGACGTATAAAAAACAAAAAGTAAAATGGGAGGTGTAAACCAAACTATGTCAGTAATACCATCAGAGTGACACCACTGAAAATGGCAGAATAGGAAACTTCATAACTGTATCCCTCCACAAAAGCAACAATTAAGCTAGCAGAAACTGTCAGAATCACCTTTTCAGGACTCTGGAATCTAATAAAAAACAACAAGAGGAATGTTTAACGAAGAAAAAAGCTGTTAAATTTTGATAAAAGAGTGTTGTAGCATTTTAACTTCCTCACCTACCATCCCCCACTCTCCAGCTGAGCAGCGGCCTTGGGGAAATGAGGGCTTGGAAAAAGTCCTGTGTATACTAGGGAATCTAGAAGGCCATGTGCACTCCCAGGACTAGACATATGCTCAGAAAAGACCTGAGAAGACCTCAAGCTTTCACCTTTTTCTTTAAAAAAAGAAGAAAAAATGGCACATGGCTGACATTTAAACTTTGTACAAACAGGAAGTAAAGGTTAAGGCACAGATGTAAACAGCTTGCCTAAGCACTGAAGGTATGCCCCAACACAGAGCCCAGAGGCAATCTGCAATAACTGGGAGAGCATTTTCCCCACTTGGTTCTAGGCATTTAAGCCTATCTCAGTCAAATCACTAGCTGGTCACTAAGCTTATGGAACAGACTGCTGTGACCATGCATGACAAAGAATACAGTCTTTACAAAAAATCATTTGGAAATGTAAGTAAACAACCTACAACCCAGAACAAGCAGCAGCAAAATCCCTGGGGAGGGGTAGAATCAGATTTCTAGAGTTAACCTATTACAATATTCAAAATATCATTTTAAAAAAAATACAAGTTATGCAAAGAAACAAGGTATAGCACACTCACGGGGAAAAAAGCAATGAACAGAAACTACCCCTGAGGAACATGAGACACTAGGCTTACTAGGAAAAAACTTTAAATCAATTGTCTTAAATATGTTTAAAGAGATCAAGGAAACCATGGACAAAGAACTAAAGGAAATTAGGAGAATGATGTCTTGCCAGGAAAAAAAAAATCAATAAAGAAATACAAATTATAAAACCAAATAGAAATCTTGAGCTGAAAAATATAATAATTAAAATGAAAAATTCACTAGAGAGGTTCGACAGAAGATTTGAGCAGGCAGAAGAAAGAATCAACAAATTTGAAGATAGGTCAATTGAGATTATCTAGTCTGAGGAACAGAAAGAAAAGAGAATTGAGTAAAAAGAACAGAGCCTAAGAGACCCTTGGGATACCATAAAGCATACCAATACACACATAATGGGAGTCTCAGAAAGAGAGGTGAGAGTGAAAGGGCAGAAAGAATATCTGAAGAAATAATAGCTGAAAATTTCCCAAGTTTGATGAAGACACTTCTCTACACATCTAAGGAGCTTAACAAACTCCAAGTAGGATAAACTCAAAAAAATCCACACTGAGATTTTTGCATGATACGTTATAACCAAACTGTTGACAGTCAAAGACAAAATCTTGAAAGCATCAAGAAGGAAGCAACTCATCATGTACAAGGGATCCCCAACATCTTATTAGAAATCATGGAGGTCCAAAGACAGTAGGATGACATTTGTAACACTGAAAAAAAAAAAAATCTGCCAACCACGAATTCCGTATCTGACCAAACTATCTTTCAAAAACGAAGGTGAAATTAAAACATTCCAAGATAAACCAAAACTAAGTGTTCATCACTAGTAGACCCAACCTACAAGAAATTTTAAAGAGTCCTTCAGGCGGAAATGAAGGACACAAGACAGTAAGTTAAAGCCATATGAAAAAATGAAGAATACCAGTAAAGTTAACTACATAGGTAAATATAAAAGCCAGTATTGTTTTATTTATGGTTTGTGTTTCTTTTTTCCTATATGGTTTAAAACATAAATACATAAAACAATAATTATACTTAGATTAAAGCAGAAAGAAATGAAATAGAGAATAAAAAACAATAGAATCAAGAAAACCAGAAGTTGTTTCTTTGAAAAAAATGAACAAAATTGACAAACCTTTAGCTAGACTGACTAAGGAAAAAAGAAGACTCAAATTACTAAAATTTGAAATAAAAGTAAGAACATTACTCCCAACGTTACAGAAATAAAAAGAATTATAAGAGACAGTACAAACGATTGTATGTCAAGAAATTAGATAATCCAGTTGAAACGGAAAATTCCTAGAAATACACTGATTACCAAAACTGACTAAAGAGAAAATAGAAAATCTGAATAGACCTGTAACAGTAAAGAGATTGAATCATTTAAGTTGAAAACTTCTCAACAAACAGAAGTCGAGGATCAGATGGAGTCACTGGTGAATTCTACCAAAACATTTAAAGACTTAGCACCAAACCTTCTCAAGCTCTTCCAAAATATAGAAGAGAAAGATACACTTCCTAACTCATTCTATGAGGCCAGCATTACCCTAGTAATGAAGCCAGACAAAGGCACTACCAAAAAAGGAAACAACAGAGCAACATCCTCATGAATATAGATGCAAAAATCCTCAACGAAATACTAGCTAATAAAATCCAACAGCATATTAAAAGGATTGTACTCCACGACCAAGTGCAAAGTTGGTTTAACATAAGAAATCAATGAATATAATACACCACATTAATAAAAAGAAGGAAACACACACACACAAACACACGACCATCTCAACTGATGTAGAAAAGGCATTTGGCAAAATCCAACACCCTATCATGATTTAAAAAAAAACTCAACAAACTAAGAAGGGAACTTTCTTAGTACAATAAAAGGCATTTATTTAAACAACAACAACAACAAACTGACAGCTAACATCATATTCAATGGTGAAAGACTGAAAGCTTTCCCCCTAAAATAAAAAATAAGACAAGGAAGCCCATTTTCACCACTTCTATTCAACACTGTATTAGAAGTTCTAGCCAGGTCAAATAGGCAAGAAAAAAGAAATAAAGCCTCCAAATTGTAACGGAAGAAGTAAAACAATCTCTACTCACAGATTACATGATCTTATATATAGAAAATCCTAACGAATCCACACACACACACACACACACACACACACACACAAAATCTCTTAGAATTAAATGAATTCAGCAAAGCTGCAAGATACAGATCAACACAAAAAAACTGTTGTATTTCAATACACTTGCAATGAACTATCTGAAAAGGAAATTAAGAAAACAATTCTATCTATGATAGCATCAGAATGAATAAAATACTTAGCAATTAATTTAACCAAGGAGGTTCAAGACTAGTGCACTTGAAACTACAAAGCACTGATGAAAGAAATTAAGGAAGACCTAAACAAATGGAAAAGTGCCCTGTGTTCATGGATGAAAAAACTTACTATTTTTAAGATGACAATACTCCCTATATTCATCTATAAATTCAATGGCATTTTTTGCAAAAACGGAAAAATTGATCCTAAAATTCATATGGAGTTATAAAGGGTCCTAAACAGTCAAAATAATCTTCAAAAAAAGAACAAAGTAGGAGGACTCACACTTCCTGATTTCAAAACTTACTACAAAGCTACAGTAATCAAAACAGTGTGGTAATGGCATAAGGACAGACATAAAGATCAATGGAATAAAATGAGAGTCCAGAAATAATCCCATACATCTATGCTTAATAGAAATAAAAAAGACCAGAGTTACAATTTAAAACAAAAAATATATATAGAAAATCAATGAAACCAAATGCTGGTTCTTTAAGATTTATAAAATAGGACAAAAAAACTAATGTTACACGAAGAGAATTTTAACCAGTAGAGGTGACTAATAATGACTGACTAGCCTAAAAATAAAAATACCCAACAGTCTTTTGTTAGAATGACTAATAACTAAAGAATGAGTAGCTGTCTTACACAAATCCTTATAAAAATATATAAAATTTAGGTCTAGCATGTTCTCAATAAGGAGACCTGGTGGCACGGTTAAGCACTCAGCTGCTATCCGAAACGTTAGCAGTTTGAACCCACCCAGTGGCTCTGCAGGAGAAAGATGTGGCAATCTGCTCCTGTAAAGACTACAGCCTTAGAAATCCTACGGGGCAGTTCCATTCTGTTACATGGGGTCACTATGAGTCAGAATCTACTCGACAGCACCTAACAACAACAGGTGTTCAATTAGTGGTAGATTTAACTTCACTGAGAATACTTTTCACCAGGATTTAAACAACATGAAACTAAGTATGTAAACTGGTAAGACTATTGATTACAATTGAATAATAAATTAAACATGTTTACCAACCTCCTCGGGGAGAAGGAGAATCATGACCTCCAATGACCACAAGGATACCAGAAGCTTCTAACTTCACTTTCCATTTTTCAATGATAGTCCCAGACTTGTCCTGAAAGCACAATGACACTGGCAGATCAGGAAACTGTCTTCAAAACACTGTAACCTGAATTATACCAGGGTTAAGTCACTCAACAGGAAATTCATAAATACCTTACTGGCATCATTGAAAATAGAGAGCTCCATGATGCCTTCAAAGTCCTGGTGCAAAACGGACCTCAAACAGTCATCCAACCAACGTTCAGCATTGTGGACTGGGAGGATAATAGACTGGAATTGAAAAGAAATGGATTAACAAATAGAAAACTAAATTTCCTTTCCACTGCTCTAATGTACTTCCCCATTACCATCAGCACAATACTTACTCCCAAACGGCAAGGTCTGATTTACAGAATAACACAAAGTAAGGTTTCCAAGAAAAGAATATGTCCTGACAAACAAAAGGTGTCTCTTCCTTCTCACCAAGCCCTTAACATTGTTTTGCTTCGTAAGATTTATTCTTACATTTCCTGAATTGGTCTTTCTGATGCTTTTAAAAGGAAAAAAAAAAAAAAAAAAATCTGAAAGGCATCAAAATGTTTCTCCCCGTAGTAACTCCAACGTGTTTTTCCCATCATTAGTCATGAACATCATCATTTTGTTTGTATCTGTGTATCTTCTAACCCAGTCATGAAAATAACTGATAGGTTCTTTGCAGGATAAGCATTTTTGGTCAACCAGGATGTTAGAGAAACAGCAACAAAGAAGTCCTTTTAAGTACCCGCTAACACAATGCTCTAACAAAGTAATGGAGAGGAGGGTGTATTCAAAGAACCCAGCTGGGCAAATGGCACAAGTGACGTCCATTTCTTTCTTCCTTTGTTTCACGTGTTAGTTTAGAGCTGATCTGACACTAGAGTTACTCTTTTCTCATAGAGCCTAACGAATAACTTCTAAAGGAGCACGGAGTAAAAACAGTGAAACTTGACAGCGAGAATCTACCAACAAAACAACTGATTACAGGAACTGATTCTTAACTTTATATATTACCATATCAAGCAGTGTAGAAGGATACCCAGAAGTTAACAAATTAACAGTCCTCACCCTTGAGTCTATACCCTAATAAAGAGAAGTGGCACATTCCTAAACAAGAAAATAAAAACAAAGGTAGTCAGGTTGCTGTGTATATGTGTTATATACACATACATCTATTTCATACACATATTAATATACATAATTTTAAAAATATTCATTTTGAATAAAAAGGTCATTAAAAAGACAGGAAAGAAAGAAAAGACCAAAATGAATGTGAGAAAAGACTGAAACTTGCTCTTGAATGTAAAGTAGCTAAAGCAAAAGGAAGAAATGATGAAGTAGAAGAGGTGAACAGAAGATTTCAAAAGGCACCTCGAGAAGATAAAGCGAAGTATTGTAATGAAATGTGCAAAGACCTGGAGTTAGAAAACCTAAAGAGAAGAACATGTTTGGCATTTCTCAAGCTGAAAGAACTGAAGAAAAAACCGAAGCCTCGAGTTGCAATACTGATGAATTCTATGGGAGAAAGATGCGGCAATCTGCTTCCGTAAAGATTTACAGCCTTGGAAACCTTACGGATAGTTCTTCTCTGTTCTATACGGTCACTATGAGTCGGAATCGACTCGATGGCAGTGTATTTGGTTTTTGGTTTTTATGGGCAAAATGTTTAACGACGCAGGAAGCATCAAAAGAAGATGGAAGGAAAACAGAGTAACTGTACCAAAAGAACTGGTCGACGTTCAACCATTTCAGGAGGTAGCATATGATCAAGAACTGATGGTACTAAAGGAAGAAGTCCAAGCTACACTGAAGGCATTGGCGAAAAACAAGGCTCTGGGCATTGATGAACACCAACTGAGATGTTTCAATGAACAGATGCAACGTCAGAAGCACTCACTCATCTATGCTAAGAAATTTGGAAGATACCTCTCTGGCCAACCGACTGGAAGAAACCCATACCTGTGCCCATTCCAAAGAAAGGTGATCTAACGGAATGCGGAAATTAACAAACCATATCATTAATATCACACTCAAGTAAAATTCTGTTGAAGACAATTCAAAAACAGTTGAAGCAGTACATCAACAGGGAATGGTCAGAAATTCAAGCTGGATTCAGAAGAGGACGTGGAACCAGGGATATCATTGTTGATGTCAGACAGATCCTGGCTGAAAGCAGAGAATACCGGAATGATGTCTACCTGTATTATATTGACTATGCAAAGGCATTCAACTGTGTGGGTCGTAACAAATTATGGTTAACATTGTGAAGAATGCGAATTCCAGGACACTTAATTGTGCTTATGCAGAACCTGTACATAGACTAAGAGGCACTCGTTGGAATAGAACAGGGAACACTGTGTGGTTTAAAATAAAAAAAGGTGTGCATCAGGGTTGTACCCTTTCACCGTACTTAATCTGTATACTGAGAAAACAATCTCAGAAACTGGACTATATGAAGAAGAACGGGAATCAGGATTGGAGGAAGACTCATTAGCAACATGACATATGCAGATGACACAACCTTGCTTGCTGAAAGTGAAGAGGACTTGAAGCATTTACTGATGAAGATCAAAGACCACAGCCTTCAGTATGGATTACACCTCAACATAAAGAAAACAAAAATCCTCGCAACTGAACCAATAAGCAACATCATGATAAATGGAGAAAAGACTGAAGTTGTCAAAGATTTCATTTTACTTGGATCCACAATCAACACCCACGGACGCAGCAGTCAAGAAATCAAATGATGTAATACCCCGGGCAAATCTGCTGCAAAAGACCTCTTTAAAGCGTTAAAAAGCAAAGATGTCACTTTTAAGGACTAAGGTGTGCCTGACCCAACACATGGTATTTTCAATTGCCTCATACGCATGTGAAAGCTGGGCAATGAATAAGGAAGACTGAAGAATTAATACCTTTGAATTATGGTGATGGTGAAGAATATTTAATATACCATGTACTGCCAAAAAAACAAACAAATCTGTCTTGGAAGAAGTACAGCCAGAATGCTCCTTAGAAGCAAGGATGGCAAGACTTTGTCTCATATACTTTGGACATGTTATCAGGAGGGATCAGTCCCTGGAGAAGCACATCATGCTTGGTAGAGGATCAGCAAAAAAAAGGAAGACCCTCAACGAGATGCACTGACACAGTGGCTGCAACAATTGGCTCAAACATAGCAAAGACTGTGAGGATGGCACACAACCTGGCAGTGTTTGGTTCTATTGTACACTGGGTCGCTATGTACAGGGCACCTAACAACAATAAGGCTGAACGTGGTTATGAAAAGCTTCATAGATATGAGTAAGGAAAATATAATTCAATCCAGTTCTTCACTGATGAAACCTCACTCTGAGGAATCCAATCTAACAGCGATATCCTTTCTTGGATTTGTATGTGACCCAGAAAACTAGTTCTCTAATTTACTTACATATTTAATTTACTTTAGAAGTACTTTTTAAAGGGATACCGGAAAGAATATTTTTACTATCCTCAAAGATCTATAATACAAACTATATGGTGATTTTTTTTTTGGTCAAACATCGGCGTTGATAAATCTGTCTTCCATTTTAGTAAAACAACAACAAACCGCCCTAGTGCTAAACCCCCGGGCTATTTCTAAGTAACGACACATCTCGTCGTGGATGCTGACTGTATCAGCCTCTGGAGTCAGCGTCAAGTCTGAACCCTGAGGCCCAGTCTGCTCCAGCCCCAGCCTTTCGTGCAGCGCAGCTGTGCTGTTCACCTTCTGGCCAGGTAAGGTGGCTGCCCTCTCCCACACCTTGTCCCTGGAGCTACAGCTGCGAGTCCAGGGGGATAATGAGCTGTGCTCCAAACGCTGTGGTTTCAAACCCTTCGCTTGGTAAAGTCTCCCAATAACCATAAAATTCCTTCCACCATAACTTCACTTTTCTCTGGTGCTTACACATTGCTTTGGGCGGAGACCCTAGAAGAAGAGGTACTGCAGGGTTTAAGTAAAGATCGGGAAAAGAGGCAAAGGGCGGGGGCGGGGAGAGGGGCGGAAAGTGGGGGAGGGGAGAGAAGGAGGCGAGGTGGGGAGGGGTAGAGGGAACGGGGAGAGGGAAAGAGAAGAGCTGAAGGGAGAGGGGTGGGGCGTCCTCGGGCTGCTCCCCGCGGCCCGGCACCTACCACGTGGGCCCGCGGGCCGCCCGGAGGCGCGGCTGCGACCGAGTCCCCGCGCGCCAGCATGGCCCCGGCTGGCTCCTCCCCCGCCCGCGGGGGCGACTCTGTCCGTGCGTCGTCTCCACCTCAGCGGGCGACGAGTGCGCATGCGCGGCCGCTCGCCGGCGGGCCCGGCGCGTGGACCGCCTCCGATTGGTGAAGAGAGACGTCGGTCCCGCCGGACGGGGCGGGGCGAGCGGCCGCGAGCGTAGAGCGGCGCGGCCTAGAGAGGCCGGCGGCTGGCGCGGCTGGACAGTTGGGCGAGTGTCTGTGTCGCAGGCTTCCTTCGCGCTCCCTTTGACCCTCAATTCATGCTGCACACCCCCGAGGGGATCAGTAACTAATCGTGACGTCTTCTCTAACACAAAAGTTATAAAGATGCTTCGTGGTGGGGAAGTTGGGGTCGTGAGGCGCCTAGCATAGGGGTGTGACTCGAAAGCCAAAGCGATGACTCAGGGTTGTCTGTGTACCTTTTTCAAGAACCGTGTGACATGCGAGATTTCATCTGAACTGCGTTTCACCTGAATTAGGAAGAACGGGCAGTCGGGCGGGGTCGGGGACCAGGCACCATAGGGAGGGCGCCCTTCATGTCTGCACCCCCAGCAGCCATGGAGAATAGCAGGGGAAGGCGCTTGGGTGGCCCGCAGTGTTCAAACTTCAATACCTTCAGAACACTGTCTTCCAACAGCACAAACCATGGCCTGCCCCCGTCAGGCCAACGTACGACCCTCCTGGGCTCAGGAAAGACACCTGATACCCTAACCAATTCATCACCAAGGATTGTGAAGATGGCCCAGCTCCAGGCAGCATTTGCTTCTGTTTTTCGAGGGTCGTCATGAGTCAGAGCTAACTGGACAATAATATTGTGCTTGTTGTTAGGTGCCGCTGAGTCAGTTCGGACTCATAGCGACCCTGTGTACAATAGAACGAAACTCTGGTCCTGTGCCATCCTCACAATGGTTGTTATGCTTGAGCCCATTGTTGCAGCCACTGTGTCGAGCCATCTTGTTGAGTCTCTTCCTCTTTTTTGCTGACCCTCTAACAACCATGATGTCCTTCTCTGGGGACTGATCCTTCCTGATAACATGTCCAAAGTATGTGAGACAAAGTCTTGCCATCCTTGCTTCTAAGGAACATTCTGGTTGTACTTCTTCCAAGACAGATTTGTTTGTTCTTCTGGCGGTCCATGCTGTAGTCAATATTCCTCACCAAGACCATAAATCAAAGGTGTCAATTCTTCTTTGATCTTCTTTATTCATTGCCCACCTTTCACATGCATGTGAGGCAATTGAAAACACCATGTCTTGGGTCACGCACATCTTAGTCCTTAAAGACCACTTTAAAGAGGTCTTCGGCAGCAGATTTGCCCAATGCAGTATGTCTCTTGATTTCTTGACTACTGCTTCCATGGATTTTAATTGTGAATCCAAGTAAAATGAAATCCTTGACAACTTCAGTCTTTTCTCCGTTTATCATTATGTTGCTTATTGGACTAGTGAAGATTTTTGTTTTCTTTATATTGAGATATAATCCATACTGAAGGCTGTAGTCTTTGATCTTCATCAGTAAGTGCTTCAAGTCCTCTTCACTTTTCATCAAGCAAGGTTGTGTCATCTGCATATTGAAGGTTGTTAATGACTCTTCCTCCAATCCTGATGCCTCGTTCTTCTTCATATAGTCCAGCTTCTCTGATTATTTGCTCCATATACAGATTGAATAAGTATGGTGAAAGGATACAACCCTGACACACCCCTTTCCTGACTTTAAACCATGCAGTATCCCCTTGTTCTGTTTGAACAACTGCCTCTTGATCTATGTACGGGTTCCTCATGAGCACAATTAAGTGTTCTGGAATTCCCATTCTTCACAATGTTATTTATAATTTGTTATTATCCACACAGTTGAATACCTTCGCATAGTCAATAAAACGCAGGTAAACATCTTTCTGGTATTCTCTGCCTTCAGCCAAGATCCATCTGACATTAGCAATGATATCCCTCATTCCATGCCCTCTTCTGAATCTGACTTGAATTTCTCACAATTCCCTGTTGATGGACTGCTATGGCTGCTTTTGGATGATCTTCAGCAAAATTTTACTTGCGTGTGATACTAATGATATTGTTTGATCATTTCCACATTCAGTTGAGTCACCTTTCTTGGGAATAGGCATAAATATGGATCTCCTCCAGTCAGTTGGCCAGGTAGCTGTCTTCCAAATTTCTTGGCTTAGATGAGTGAGTACTTCCAGTGCTGCATCCGTTTGTTGAAACAACTTCGTTGGTATTCTGTCAGTTCCTGGAGCCTTGTTTTTCACCAGTGCCTTCAGTGCAGCTTGGACTTCTTCCTTCAGTACCGTCAGTTCCTGATCATATGCTACCTCCTGAAATGGTTGAACATCAACCAATTCTTTTTGGTACAGTGACTCTGTGTATTCCTTCCATCTTCTTTTGATGCTTCCTGAAACGTTCAGTATTTTGCCCCTAGAATCCTTCATTATTGCGACTTGAAGCTTGAATTTTTTTCTTCAGTTCTTTCAGCTTGAGAAATGCCGAACGTGTTCTTCCCTTTTGGTTTTCTAACTCCAGGTCTTTGCACATGTTGTTATAATACTTCACTTTGTCTTCTCGAGCTGCCCTTTGAAATCTTCTGTTCAGCTCTTTTACTTCATTATTTGTTCCTTTTGCTTTAGCTACTCAACGTTCAAGAGCAACTTTCAGAGTCTCTCCTGACATCCATTTTGGTCTTTTCTTTCTTTCCTGTCTTTTTAATGAGTTCTTGCTTTCTTTGTGTATGATGTCCTTGATGTCGTTCCACAACTCGTCTGGTCTCTGGTCATTAGTGTTCAACTCCTCAAATCTATTCTTGAGATGGTATTTAAATTCAGGTGGGATATACTCAAGGTCGTACTTTGGCTCTTGTGGACTTTTTCTAATTTTCTTCAGTTTCAACTTGAACTTGCATATGAGCAATTGATGGTCTGTTCCGCAGTTGACCTCTGGCCTTGTTCTGACTGATGATATTGAGCTTTTCCATTGTCTCTTTCCACAGATGTAGTCGATTTGATTCCTGTGTATTCTATCTGGTGAGGTCCACGTGTATAGTCTATACTGTATTATAGTGACATGTGCAAAGACCTGGAGTTAGAAAACCAAAAAAGAAGAACAGGTTTGGCATTTCTCAAGCTGAAAAAACTGAAGAAAAAATTCAAGCCTTTGAAGGACTCAACTTTCACCTTTTCACTTAAAGGAAGCACTTTACGGCTTCTCTTTGGAGTATCGCAATTGCCAGCATCACTATTCTTGTGCTTGGCCATGATTAGGTAAGATAAGGATTACTTCAACAGAAGCACTGTGATACTGAGGCAGTTCATCTGATAACTGAAATGGATGCTACGTGACCGACGGGCAGGTAGTGTACACAGCATGGATATGCCGGACAAAGGGATGATTCACACCCGGGTGGGACAGCGCAAGGCTTCTTCACACTACTCAGAACTGCACAGAATTTAAAACTTATGAATTATTTATTTCTGGACTTTTCCATTTAATATTTTTGGACCTCAGTTGACCGTGGGTAACTGAAACCGTGGAAAGTGGAACCGTGGATAAGGGGGGACTACTGTCCAAAACTAAGACTAAATGAAAATCATTCTACATGTTAAATAGTATGTCATAACAACATAAAAGGCAAACATTGGTTTTAAATCTTTTAACCGTTGCTTCAAGTGTAATTTTTCCTTAAAATTTTCGTCAGTGTTATGCAAGGCTTGTTGTTGAAACACTTGGATCAAACAACTGAAGATGTATCCTCATTTACAGTCTGTTGAGCAAACTGAGGAGTTGTTTTCAAGGATCTACAGTTCTCCAGGGGTTGGGGTGTATGATAGTTTCATTTTAAATGCCTCAGTAAAAAGTAGCATTGTATGCTCTGACCGGGATCACAACAGAGAGTTCTGGACAGAGCTGGAGAAGGATGTAGAACAAAACTCTAACTCACAAAAAAAAGACCAGATTTACTGGCCTAAAGGAGACTGGAGAAACTCCGAGAATATGGCCCCCAGACACCCTTTTAGCTCAGTGGTGAAGTCACTTCCGAGGTTCACCGTTCAGCCGGGGATTGGACAACCCCATAAAACCAAATGGTACTAATGAGGCACAGCAGTCCAGGAACAAGTACTAGAAGGCAGACGGGGACAGGAAAGCTGGTGATAGGGAACCCAAGGTTGAGTAAGGATAGTGTTGATGCGTTGTGAGGTTGTTAACCATTGTCATAGGGCAACATGTGTACTAACTGTTTAATGAGAAACTATTTTGTTCTGTAAACCTTCATCTAAAGTGAGAATAGC